CCCATGCCACCCCTGCGTGATTGTGGAGGCTCATTTCAGGTCAGCCCAAATCTGAAATGGCACTCACCCCCAACTCCTGTCGCAGTGGATTTGTGGGTAGGTAAAGCGAGAAGCAGGCCGGGAGGCTGATCTTCGGCTTGTACCTTCACCTCCCTAGGTGGCCTCGGCTCCCTGCAGACCTGAGCCAGGGGACTTCTGACAAACTCACACTTGGTTTGGGGATTTGGGGCATGAGTGTATGTTATGCTTACTTGCTCTCTGTTAAGCTTTTGTTCCATAACAAGAGCAAATCTGGCTTTAGGGGAGTTTGGAGAACTCTCAGCTGATTGTAGCTGAGGAGCCCCAGAATTGCATCCTGGCCTGGAGTTCTAGACTGGTCTAATTGCTAGTTGGCCTGGTGACTGTTTGACGAAGCAGGATTTCTTGCTTGGCTAGCTAACTTTAGGCTCAATTCAGTCCTGGATTTTCTGTCTCACTACAGTGGACTGCTTTTTACTGGGATCGTTTCAGATCATTAACACCTCTTGGACGAGTCAGGTCTCTTTATGGCGGAGGTGGACTCATTGGTCCTTTTCATGCCACTTTTTTCCCCTCATGATGAGTCACGTGAAATATCACTTTTCAGTCATGAGACGGGTTATACTGCATAGATATCAAGATAATAAAGCAGTTATTACTTCAGTAAACACTAGTGTGGTGACAGTGCTGGAAGCCCAACATTTGGCAGTCAGAAACCTAGTCTAAGTTGAACGTGCTTTGAGACACAGTCCCCTGGTTGGTGTTCTAAATTGTAGAAGACAGCACATGCATGAGATAGCTGTGGCTTTTTACGGTAGCCAGTGCTTTGTCTTCTGAGTCCCAAACCTTCTGTTCTAACATTGAATACTGAGCCCTGTATTCCAACCCCCTTCTGCAGCACTGGTCTCCTCAACCCTCTTTTGTAGCAATGGGTCCCAACTCCTGTGCTCCAGTCCTGTGCAATTATGTGCCCCTCCAACAATGCATCACCAGCTCTTATTTTCAAGTCTATACGAATGCATTCCCGATCCTTGCCCAAGTCTTGTGGTATTATGCCCCTGACCCCTGCTGCATCCTGTATCTTGCCCCAGCCTTTTGCCACAGTCCTATGGTCCAGCGGCGAGTCCCTTATCGGTACTGAAGTCCTGTGATCCAATGTTGGATTCTCAGCTTCCTGCTCCAGTCCTTGTCATTGGATCTTCTGCCCCTGCTGCAATCCTCTACTCCAACACTGAGTCCTCTGGTCCCTGCTTCATGGTTTGATCCCTCACCTGTGCTGTGGTCCTCTTCTCAAACCTTGGATGCCCTTCCTCCTTGCTTCAACATTGGGTCTCGATCCTCCTTTCTATAGTCTTGTGCTCCTGTGCTCCTGGAGGACCCTCTCCGGTTCTAGTCTCCAGCACTGGCCAGCCCATTGCTTCAGTCCTGTGCTCCAGTATTGGGTCTGTATGCCCCCTGCTTCAATCTTGTGGTCCAACATCAAGACTCTGTGCCCCCTGTTCCAGTTCTGGTCTCCAACGTTGCCTCCCCGGCCCCCACTCTCCTGCCCCTCTGCTCAATCCCTTGGTCCTCAGGCTCCTGCTTCGAGCACTTAGCGCTTCAGCGCTTTAGCCCTCAGCTCACTCACTCGCCAATCAGCCCTCCTTTATTTATTTAGCTCTTCATACATGTTTAATGAAGGAGAGGCTAACCGATCCCATAACAGCCAGGTCGTAAATACTAGTGAGTGTGTGTGTGTATTCGGGAAAGGGGGGCATTTTCTCCCTCTAATAGAGCAATTTTTTAACCAGATTGCTGTTTAAAAATGGCTTAATGAATGGGTTTAGCCTGAGATCAAAGGCTAATATGTTACTGCACCTGTGTTTGTGTGCATGGATGTGCATGTACTTCTTATGCTTCTCTCTTTTACTGTATAATGTATGGGAGTTGCTGAATGCAAGACATTCTTGCATAAGGGGGGAAAAATAAACATAGTGTCATCATTATTACAAGACGATGTGTCAGCTTTAATATTGTAATATTGTTGTGTGCTTTGTTGAAGATGCATACGTGTATATTTTAGGGCACCAGGTACCAGGTGCATTGTGGGTTTATTTGAATCAAACCAGCTTAGTGTTTTGTGTGTGTCTATATATAATAAATGTATGTATTACTCATATATTACAATGTTTTAAAATCATGTTTAGAACTTTTGCTGGAGCTTTATGACACTATACTGAGACCAGTTGTTTTAGTATTTCAAGTATTTTTGTCATATTTGATCTAATAATGTGATGCTCCTCAAATAAAAAAATTAGCCATCGCTGCATCCACTGTAAACATACTTTGTTGCGTACTACAGTGGTGCTGCTGTCGTCTCCGGAGTGAAATTTTCCAGTTTAAAAACTAATAAAACCACCTTCTGATGATATAGGAACTTTTGAAAATTACTTTGGGGTGAATTTTTGGGCTGGACTGTTTTTATCTGTTAGTTAACTGGTGAATGCAGAACGAAGGCAGGTCTGTAATGTTACTAATAGCTGCCTGAATACCTTATTTCAGTGTTATAACTACAGTAAATGTCCTTAAAAAAAGTAAAGTTGAGAGAATGGATTACTTTGGGCACAGAAATAACTGTGAAATAACTTGAGGTGGATGACAAACCAAGAGCTGAAGTTAGCAAAGTAGCTACCTGGCTATCTTGATACTTTTTGGCTTCATTTCTTGTGCTAAAAAAAGGAAAAAAAGAAAAAACCTTATCTTCGACATCCATTTTGTGCTGGATAAAGATAGAATCTCTATTTTCTTAGCGATTTTGTTCGACTGCCTAGGTATGAATTAAGCTAATGCTAGCTTGGTTGTATTTATTGGCCTACAGATCTGTTGACTGATTAGTTGACACCACAGGGATTCCCAGTGGTTGTGTCATGTGTTTACACAGTGTGTATTGTAGTGAGAAAACACTGATGAAGGAAAACATGAAAAATAATATCAAATCATGCTTATATGTAATTATTCTGAAGGAATGAGTAACATAACCTAAGGCCACACAACATGTTAATAGCTTTCGTGTAATGGCACAGATAATGAAAACGTTTCTCATTTCCGAGCGTCCTTTTTCTTTGGCGTATGAGAGATGAGTTTGTGTGGAGCATTCTCCTCATGTCCAGTTTTCTGCCGTAGGGTTGGCATGTGGGTAAACAGGTGCAGTGAGGACAAGGAAAGCATAGAGACGGAGCGATTCGACCTGCATTATGCAGGATGGTCAGCAGCCAGACAGATTAAAAACTGTGCAAATGGCAGTGCACCGCTCTCCTCGTCCAATCCGCTGGCATTGTTTGCATTCAAATGAATTAATTAATGCTTTCAGACAGACTGTACGTGTCTATGTCTGTGTGTGAATGGAAATTTGGGGTCTATTGTTCTCTAAACTGTGGATTCAAGTAAAAAATAAAAAGTGTCTTTGTATTTGTGTACATGTTATCAAGGAAAATGGGCAAAAAAGGCTTCAGGGCTCCACACATGACCTATAACCCTTGTGGCCCAGCACACCTCATATTTGAGCAACTTCTTCTGGCAGATCTTGATCATGCAAACAAGCCTCTCTTTTTCCTTCAGCCATCAGAGAAGTCTGTTTCCAATTGTGTACTAATGTTTCTTCCAGTTTGCACTATTGTAATGTTTGCACAGACTATAGTGCATTACTATCTGAAAATATACCATCTGAAAATGTCAGTTGCTCTTTACATTGTGTGAATATTTCATCACCAGTGAAGCATTACAACTAAAGCTTATATGTAATAAAACTTGTCACATTAAAAGGAATTTTTGATCAAGTTATTCAGGGTGGTTTGATGTTAAGTGGTTCATTATAGAGAAACTTACTCACTTACTCAATTCTTTACAGTGGTGGTGATAGGAACCCGGGGTCTCCATATCTACAAAGCAAATGTATAACTTGTTTTTCTTATCCAAAGTGACCAGTGAACTTACACGTCTCTTCGGAATTTCGACATGTAATGTTGATGGTAAAATGGTGGTAAATCTGAAAAAAAACTTTCCTGTTTTTCCTTACAACACCCTGCATGTATCTCATTCATAACCATTTCTGTGAGGTAGTTTTTAAAGGCATCAGACGTCTGGTTCCTATCACCACCACTGTGAACAATTCTGACTCTGAAGTTTCTCTAGAACAGAACATTTCACATCAAACCACTCTGAATGACTTTCTGAATGATTAAATATAGTATATAAAACCATGTTTTTGTAAGAATCGTTGTGTTTCGTAAGCTTTTTATGAGCCTTTCATATCTACATAGCGAGCATGTCCTCTTCCAGCAGAGGCTGCCATGTTTTGCCGCCATGTTTCTGCAGTAGCCCAAGATTGACAAACTGAACACTGGCTCTAGAGAGTGCCTTTGGGATATTTACGTTGAAGTGGCAGCTTGAATTTGGTGGTGCTCTTGTACCGGTTGGAAGACATAAAAAGAAGAACAATCAGTGGTTGCTGCCGATGTTAACCATTCTGTGTTGTGAGAAGTTTGAGGACCTGAATTTTGAAAAATGGACGGTCAAACTAATTATTTGGCACAAGAAAAAGCGAGAGAGAGTGAATCCTCGTTATCAAAGAAGCGAAAACCTGACGGCCACCTTAGGTTTTACTACACACCGGGAAAGGGAAGGGTGAGGGAGGGGTATTCAGTTAATTACAATCTGCAACCTCACCTCTAGATGCCACTGAATCTTACACACTGCACCTTTACTACACGCTACTATTTCAAAGTTTGGAATATGTGTTTGCAGCAATAGCAGTTTGTTTCAGATGAGTGTATAAGGTGATTCTAATAGGCTTGTCAGTTTCATAGCTTTCAAATAATTTGTAAGAAGCTAAAAAAAAAACTTTTCTGTGTGACACTTCAGTTCAAATACTACCGTCATTGTTGTTTGGCAGTAAAGAATCTTCAGTCTTGTATGTTCTGACCTTCTCCTCCTCTCTCCCTCAGCTTTGTCCGGAGGCGATCAGGCAGGTCAGCATGGTTGGGCGACGGGGGACAGGCACCGTAGAGCTGCGGAGGAGTCCTACTGGGCATACTCAGGTGAATACAGTGTGCAAACAGACTTGACCGAGGAGTCGGGCCACTGTGGCCTCACCCCTCACACATGACTGAGCCTACTTTTGTGGATCCACACATACATACACGGTCATGGCTGTGGAGCCTATTGTGCGTCCACACAGCACACAAGCACACAGACCCCAGAAGACTTGCCATGATTGTCAGCAACATACGCTTTAATTAGCCAACGAACCTTCCCTTCAACACACTCACCATTATCCATGATTGCCTTTTACTATGGCTGGCATTATAATGTTAATCTGAATACTTGAGTATTCATTCATTACACTGGGAATCCTTTGTAGTTTGTGGAAGCTTCAACTATTTTCCAAGCCACAGAAAAGAATGGTTATTGTTAATATATGGAAAACAGTATATGACAGATACAATATAGCATAAATAATTGTAGCTGGATTAGTTGAATACACACATAAATCCGTGCTAATACTAGGCATCCGCATCACCTCAGAGTGCATCAAACCACTTTTCTCAAGACCATTGAAGCTAATGTAGCAGAAAATGCCTCAGAAAGAAATCATGCGTGGGAGCACTTTAAATTATCGGATGATAGGAAAAATGCTTAATGCAAAATTTACGATAAGAGGCTTGAATATTTTAATATAAATACTCATTTTAAAATGTTTTTTAAACATTTTTGTCCGTTCCAATCAATCAGATGTCAGAGAAAATATTGTGAGGCATCGTGTATTGTAAAGCTTTTTTGATGTCCCGGGATATTTAAATTTTGCCATATCGCCCACTACTAACCTAAGCGCAGCTAGAGATAGGAGTCTGCTGTGGGTTGAAGTTCTCCACCCCACTCTAGGGGTGCAAGTGATCAGTTTCAGCAGCCTCGCTGCCCTGCAGGAGGACAGGCTGCACCAGGGTGGTTGTTCAGCTGAGCTTGTAGCTCCAAATGCTCCTCAATCCTCCGCTTCACTCTCTGTAGCTCAGCTAAGCTCAGCATGCCCTGTAAACGAGTCGGCTTCAGACAGCAAACTAGTCAAAAACCACAAGCATGATGATGATGATGGTGATGATCCTGATGATGACAATAAATAAAATGATAATTCTAATTTGTTAGACCTGTATTTGAACAAGCAAGTAGCTGGCCAGTCATACCTTGTTGACGACTACTGGATGTAGTTTGAATGGCAGTAATAAACAAACTCAAGATGATGGTCAATCATGAAATGTGCGTGTTGTTTTAAAGGGTGATTTTGAGAATGAGTATTCAAAGCCTGTAAAATGTTGTTTGAGGCAGCCTTGTCTAACACACACACGCGCACACACACAACAGTAAGTATAGCCTAGCATTTAAATTGGAGCCTGTCTTCTTCTTTTTCCTTTTTTTTTATACACACCTTCCGAATCCTCGTCATCGGTTGACAGCTATTCTTCACGCCGCAACATGACTACTGCTTTTTCCTGTATTCATTTTCTTGCCAAAGACTGTTAGTTAAGCTTGCAGCAGAGCAGAGTGTGAAAAGCTGCCGGCACTTTGAACTGAGCTGTGAAGTTTGCGTCTCAGATTTGCGGTACAGCCGGAGGAGCTTTCTAGCTTGGCTGCAGGCTGGAAGCAGAAATGCCCTGTTTATTACTGATGATTCTCTAATGATGCTTTTAAACATCCATGCAGATGTTTCCTAATTATTATTACGGTTTAGGCACCTTTAACATTTTAACTCTCGCCCCATTCGAGGGCATTTGTTTTTGTCAAATATTCATTAAATACATGATTTTTTTCAAGGTGAGAAGAGAACAAGTTGGATTCATAACTGCAGTAAAAGGCATTTTTGTAAGTCATGTTATGTCAAAAGTCCACAAGTGAGTGTTGCATAAGTGAAGGTTTAGAAAAAAGTCTGTAATGGCATGAGTGGCTGCTGAAGTTGCACTTAGTCTGGTCTCACAGAGCCAGTTGCGATCTCAAATTGAGAACATCTGGGGACAATCGTATGAATTTTTGGGCTAAATATGGGTGGGAACATTGGCTTACTTGGGTGGGAACAAGCTAAAAGTGAAATTTCTAAAGCAATCCAATGCAGCTCAAGGTAGAAGACAATGGTGCGCTTGTCAACATTGTGCAACTGACAACTAACCTGTTATTAGCCCCATGATTGTGACGTAACTTGGCGTCGCTGAAAAGTCCCCCTAAAAACTTCAACCAAGCATGTTGATGTGTGTCACGTTACAAGAGCTAAAATGAAATACGACCTCTTGTTACGAGAAAAAACATTCCATTGTTCTTTTTCAGCTTTTTGTTCTAGATCTAGATCATTCCATTGTTCTAGATCAGTGGCTCACCAACCCTGGTCCTGGAGATCTACCTTCCTGCAGCGTCTTGTTCCAACCACAATCTGCCACACCTACTCCAGCTAATCAACTACTACAGAGGCCCCTGATTGGCTGGATCAGATGAATTAGTGTAGGTAAGGAGGAGGCAGCGTTTCAGATGCAGGTTGAAGCTGAACTCTGCAGGAAAGTAGATCTCCAGGAGGAAGGTTGGTCACCACTGTTCCAGACCATGCATTAGGTTTAGTAGATATCACCAGGCAAGTAATAAAAGGTGATGCTGTATTCTGAGCATTAAAAGAGCATGCACCTGAGGGTCTTTGGGGGTGGGGCTGGGGGGGGGAGATATAATACCCTTGTTTGTGGTGGTTTTTCCTGCAGTCCAGCGCTAAAAGTTTAAAAAGTTGTCCTCAGACTTGTATTCTCAAGATCATGTCTGGCCCTTCGAGACTACGCTTAGCCAAGCAGCTAAACTAGCAGCTTAATTAACACAAGTGATTAATGCCAGTAATGTTTTTCACACTGTTTTTATGTTATCAAATTATTGAAAGTAATAAATAAGTTCACACTCTTTATGCTGAAATTTGAGCAAATAAGACGAGTTAGTCACAATTTTGCACTTTGAAGCCTGGAATGAACAAACCGATTCAGAAATCTGCACACTTGTTTCGTGGTGGGCAGATTAGATCACTCACTGGGCATCACTCATCTCCTCTGCTCTTCCTTTTATCCCTCTCTTTCTTCCCCCACTTCCTCCCTCCCTCCACTCTTCACTCCTCAGCCGCTTCCTGTGTGGAACTCTCCTGGCTTTTTCTCTTTATGAATGTCCCTGCCCAGGAAAAGTGACTCTCCCCGTCCCTCCGAGCTGTATTTGCGGAAGAGGAGCATTAATCTTTCACTGTGCAACCAGGCCCGTGGCAATAAGCGATCTTTATTTCATTTATTTAAATATTTCACCTCCCTCCTCTGGCTCCCAGTGCCGCTAATAAACACTGCTGGGATCCGCCGATGCCCTTTTTGTCATCGCGGCCGTCCTCAAAATCCGCGCTGCAGGTGGAGCCTGGCCTTTCCTGCTGAAGCCCAGGCCCTAATCTCAGCCATTAGAAAAAACACGAGCCACGGCGGTCCCACATCAGCGGGACGGCGCAAACCGCCACTGTTCCCCAAATCCACACTGTTATATAAGCTGCTGATGTAACTAAGCCAATTCAACTCTGGGGGGAGAGTGTGGGGGGAGAAACAATGCACGCAGAGTAAATATCAAAGCTCCCGAAGACCTTTTATTTCTCTGCCGATGAGGAAGAGAGAGTGTTTTATGTCTCCATAGGAGTTATGTAATTCTCTACATGCAAGAGATTTTATCCAAATCGTTTTCTTAATGTGTTTTTGATAAATGTGCGCATATATTTTTCCATTATTAATTCAGCCTATTGAAAAAGTTCCTGAGATGATCTTGCTAAAGGCCGAATGATACTTCTGCATCTATATATCTGTGAACATTTGTGCAGCTGTTCACACTGGCATGCTTGCAAGTAATGTGAGCATATGACTGAACGATTTCTTGAAAAAAGTGAATTGCAATTTTTCTGACCAAAATTGCAATTGCGATTTAAAAGCAGTTCTATAAATTAGTCTCCAGGCCTTCTTTTTAGCCAAGACCACCAGCTTATCCATTTTTTTTCCACTGCAAGCTCATGGATTCTGCACTATTAGGCTAAATTTGCTCAAGTGACATGAGTATTAAATAGCGTATGATAAAAATTTAATTGCAACTGTTGTGATTTGAAAATTGCGATTTCAGTTTCAACTAATTTCGACAAATCATTCAGCCCTGTGTGAACATGTCCAGACCAGAATGTACAGAAAATGAAGAAAATGAATGATTATGCATCTCCTGTTTTTCCTTTCTCTCTACCAATTAATACTTGCTTCATTTTTTTTTATTTTGAAGAAATGTTATATAATATTATATATATTTTACCAGTTTATTACGAAACTGTCCATTTGATTTTGTTTGGGTCTCCTGTCACCCCCACCATGCCAGATTGTCTATAAGAGTTTGCTTGATGATGACAGTGTATACAGTCATGTGCAAAACATCCCCATTAAAATACAATAACGTTTTTGTTGATTTAAGTGAAAATAAATAACACATGCCCTACAGAAAACACACTTAGTTAAGCAAAAAAATGGTTCTGCAAATTTTAGTGCACAATTTCTGTGTACATGCTTAATGCTGTGTATATGTAAAAGCTATATGAGTTTAACACACTGGAAAAAATTAAACATAAATTATAAAATATGTCCTATCTTTGACGCCAGCCGCATCTTACATTTGATTTTTTTCCCCAATCTGTTTAATTTAGCAAAAAGATGTAATTGTGCATTAAATTGTGCAGATGTGTGTTCTCGTTAGAAGATGTCTGAACTTATTTTCTCTTAGAAAATCAACAAAATGTGTCATTTGACCAGAGGTGCCCAAACGTTTGCATACGACTGTAGTTTTGTGGCCTCTGTAATCCTCTGTGAGCTCATGAACCCCATCTCACATCCCAGTACATATGCATTTACATGCATCTTCGCAGGAATATAAATCAGCCATAAACAGACAGTCATAGCAACTATATGTGCACATATAATAATTTTGCATAATGTGTTATTATGTTTTAACAGGACTGTAAAATGTGATA